TTCCTGCAGATTATTAACATAATCATCTCATTTCTATTATAGACGAATACCTAAGATGTCTCCCGACTTGACACTTTATGAAACAGGTAGTTAATTAATGTAGGGAAGGCAGCATTTAACCTGAAGCCTTCCCAGCAGGCATCTGGCAAGATGCAAAACGCAGGAAAAAAAAAATAAGAATGAGAATAAGAGTCGGATGAGTACCAGAGAGGCTAGAGCCCAAGTCTTGGAAATGGAAGTCAGAAAAAGGCAGGATAATGCCCTATTGAGGCCTTTCTGGGGCCTTGGCACTGTGGACTTACCAGCTCTTCATGGTTACTTGCTTTATCTTGGGTGTAGCCATACGGTGTGAGAATGAGCTGCCCGTAAGAGTGCATGGTCAGGAAACACAAGATGTTCTTCTTCCTGCTCTCTATAAAACTGGAGAGGGCTTTTGTTTCTGGTTCCGACACTGGTCCCGTCCCACAGAATATTAAATCTTCACAGTTCTTAGATGCACCAGTACCTGGAATGTAGTACAGAAAACCAGTAAGAAGACTTGTGTTTCCAGTTTAGGAAAGATCGAGGGCAAAGAGTCACCCTGGCTCAAGACATCTGTGGTGGATCAAGGCTCGCCCTTGGTTATCAAAGTTAGTCCTGGCTAAATGATGAACTTGGATAGACACAAAAGGATAATCTTTCAGGAATGAACACATAACGGTGGGAGGGTTGAAGTTACGAGTTGAAAACAAGCTCTAAGCCAGCCCTATGACTTAGTAGTTAAAGGAGCAAAATCTCACACGCCTCAAATTGTGTTCAAACACTGGCCTGAAGGCTGAAAAACACTCATGGTGCATATGCAAGCATACCCCAAATCCTGATAGGTTGGAGAAGTAGAGGAGAAGGGATTGTGACATGACGATGTCTGTTGGAGGATGCTTTCACCCTTTCCGCTCTCCCCCTCTGTCGAATGCACTCATCCTCTGGCAATTAAATAAAAAAAGAAGCAGCAGCAGCAAACTCCATGCTAGTTTGGCTCAGAAGGAGGATGTAAAAGGAAATAGCATTTTGTCAATCTTTCACTTCCACCTGTGGTGGACCCTGAAACAAATGAAACAGTGCTTGGGTTCTAGGTCAGCCTCTGAAGTTTTATTGGCCCAAGTCTCTCCTCAGTGTCTTAATGGCTTGAGTCTCTTTAGAGTTATTTTACATAAGTAGTCTGTCCTCCTCATTAAAAATAATAAGGATCATCAGTTGAACACCACTTAATATAGTGGACATGTGCTCAACCTTTCTTATGTAGCATCATGCTTAATCTTTAAAAAGAAGTACAGATATGGTGGTATTGGGACCAGCAGATGGGATAATGATTATGTTGCTGGACTCCCATGAAGTTGACAGTGGTTCGAGTCCCAGATCTGGCAGCTTAAAACTCATGCTGTTATCAGTTGAAGATATTTTGATCAACTGGACTGGATGTGAGAATGAGCTTGATCAACATTTCAATATTAATATATTGAAATGTTCACTTTGTAAACTAAATAATGTGATTGAATGTATATTAAAAAATAAAGTAATAATAATTATAAAATAAAACCTCATGCCAGCGCGTGTGTGTGTGTGTGTGTGTGTGTGTGTGTCTGTGTGTCCAAAACCCTAAGAAGAAAATGGAGGAGTAAGGATTGTAGTGTGGCCAACTCCCCCTACCTCAGAGGGTGATTCCTTGCTTTCTGTCTCTCTGTCTCTGTGGGGAGCACATGCACCCTATAGCAAAAATCTCTCTTAATAAAAAGGGGAGGGGAGCGGTAGGTGTTGTGGTGGTTAAAGACACTGGACTCCCATATGGCTGACCGCAGTTTGAGTCACAGACCTGGCAGCTTGCTTTCTCACTTTTTCTCTCTGTCTCTTTCTCTCTATCTCTCTCTGGTCAAATTAAAACAAATAATAATAAATAAAGTTAAATAAAAATAATTCTTTACAAAAAAGATAAGGTGGTATTACTATGATGCACATTTTACATAAGAGAAAACCAAAGCAGAGAAATGAAGCAATTTTTCTAGGACCATGCAGCTGCCAAGTCTGAGTATTAACCCTTGCCATCTGGCTAATAGCAATGCTCTTGACCATTTCTGCTTCTTTGCTTCCAATTCACTGAGCATATTGAAACTTGGAAACATGAAAATACCGTAAGGAGAAGAAAATGCCTCCTTTGTTTACTGTCCACCCCCCTGCTGTAAAATAATCTACAAGGATAAGTCTCCATTTCTTTCTTTTCTTTTCCAAAAATGTTATTTCCCTATTTATTTTTTAATTCATATATATATATACACACAAACACACACATATTTCTGTATGTATATTTGTTATACATATATTCATTTATATATACACACATACAGGTATATTTATATATATATATTATCATCATAGAGAACATGTTTTATATATAATATATATATATAATATGTGTATATTATATATAACATAATCCAGAATGATGGATTTCAAGTACTTTCACACTGGTCTAGGTCTCCTTTGCCCTTGGTTAGCCAACCTCTTTTGCAGAGAGTGCTGCACTGGAGTACTGATGGCTCTTACTATATAGATATCATCCCTTTAGAGGGAATAAAGCTGGCCAGGAAGCTCAGAAAGATGTACAAAATTAGCTATTTATTTTCCAATATTATGTCTTTAGTAATTTAATTCTTTCTTGGCTTCCCAGCTCTGCTTTCTCATTCATCAGTTTGTCTACTAAATATGTACTTACTACACCAGGATGCATTGAAATTTCTATTGAGATCCGTCCCAAAACACGTGCCATTATTATGGGATGAGCGGGATTTCCTCCAGAGACGATCCTGTAACAGAGGAACATAAGGATGTTGCCATTCTATGGTTTCATAAATCACAATGTCCGTGATGATAGGTGGTTCTCAAACAGGAAAAATGTTTCCTAGGATTATCTGGGAAAAGTTGCCTTTAACATTACAAAGTCTGTGTGCTTAATTTGAATCTTGCAGATGGACTAGCAACCCTCAATAATGGGAACATCTGTACAACCAAAAGCATACATATGTGTAAACAATCAAATAGGAGGAAGTAGTTTGGCCTTTTCTTCACAACCAGATTACCAGTGCCCATGAATGTGATCCGCTTAGTCAGAAAAAGCTTCAGAGTCATTTTTCAGGTCTGCCTGATACAGGATGAAAGAGAAATAGCTTGTCAGATGGCGGAAGGCTGCTCCAGGTGAATCAGAGATGGTCACTGCACATTTCTGGAAGCAGAAGACTGATGAATGAGATGGAGAAAAAGAGCTTTATAAACAAGTTCAGAGGGAGGAACCAGATTCACATGCTAGACCAGAAAGGCTGTTCCAGAGAAAGAAGCTCCATGGAGGGCCTTAGAGGGAGTGGCGGGGGAGAGAGAAGAATGAATACTCTCTAGAAACAGGGCCTCTTGTGTGTGGCATGATAGATAAGCTTTAGAAAGAATTTCAAAGAGAAAGCCATCTACTGCATTAGAAGGCTTGATGTGTGCCCGCCATGTGAATGATCACACTGAATACGTAGACCGATTTAGTATTTATACATCATTTATTCCCCTGATGCTTCCAGAGCAAATTTGAGGTGTTTACAGGATGGTATATGAATTTTATAGCAATAAAGTCCTAACTGGATGGCCGGCAATCACTAAATAGTAAGGAGATGGAGGGGGAGAGAAATTAAATCTGCATGGTAAATAGGGACTATATCAAAACCAACCAAAACAATTGTGCTGGATTTAATTCTAAAAAGGCTGTTGGTCATCTTAATCTTCCACTTGGCTTATATTGTTTGACAAAAAATGTTAGGCTAATTTTTTTTTCAATAATTGTTTCATTTTATTTATTATTATTTTTTCAAATTTGACCAGAGCAAGACAGAGACAGAGACAGAGAGGGAAAAAGTGAGAAAGCAAGCTACCAGGTCTGGGACTCAAACCATGATCAGCCATGTGGGAGTCCAGTGCCTTAACCAAAACACTACCTGCTAGTCCCAGTTAGACTAATTTTTACTCCAAGTGAGATTTTTTTTTCTTCACATGAGTACAAAATATTCATATAGCTGGAATGGCTGACATTGGAAAAATGAACCTAAGTCTATCTTTAATTCATGAACTCATTGCAGCACCAAGGTCAGAATACTCACAGTCGTCCAGGTATAGATATAACCATCTATGTTAAAGACCGGAAGCACATAGAAGTCCAGGTTCCTAAGGAACTTGCTTATCCTTGGATTCTCTTTATAGTTTTGTAGTATCTGGAAATTTAAGATAGGAATATTTGGAATAACCCTGGGAAGAGATCATTTCTTTCTTTTCTTTTCTTTTTTCTTCTTCTTTTTTGTTTTTCCCAGAAAGAAAGAGAGAGGGAAAGTGAGAAATCATCCCCTGGGGGAATGACCACACCACAGTCCCTTCTCCTCCAATCTCCTCTTGGAATTTTGGGCACACATGCTTTGCATGATTTTCAAGCTGCCAGATCCAGAATTTGAACCATGGAGTTGGCCATGGGGGAAGCCAGAGCCTTAGCCTCTACCTGCTGGTTCAAGGTCATTTCTCTCAACTATGAGAGGTGGGTGCACATTTCACCTCTACCCCCATCCCCTCAACCCCTCAGTAATCCTCTGAAGATTTACATAGTAGTTCTCATACATGAAAATCACTAGGAGGATCTGTTGAAACACAGATTGTTCACCTCTACCCCACTTGTAACCTCATCCCTCATTCCTGCCCTGCCCCTGTGAGTTTCTAAGTTTGAAATAGAGCCCAAGAATTTGTATTTCTAGCAAGTTCCCAGTTGATGTTGATGCTCTTGGTCTGGAGACCACACTCTGAGAACTACTTTTTGTGAGTTTTTTTTTTTTTTTTGGTCTGGGTTTCTGAAAAAACACTAAATATCTACCTTATTTATTTGCTAAATACTATTAGAAAAAGGCAGAGCCAGTATTCAAAGTCATCTCTAACTCCTAATATGCATCTTTTCTACATTTAGATGCATTTACCCTGCAATAAACATGACTTTGCATACACACTAGAAAGAGATCAGAATACTAACTCAAGTTTCAGTGAATCTTATTTCATTTCATTTGAGGTTCAGGATTAGCTCAGTAGAGTTGCATTCCTAATGTGAAAGAAGCATAGTTTCTACGGAGCAAAGAAGTAACAGGTATTTTATGGGGTAATGGGCCATCATGAGGAAGCAAAAGACACTTACTTCTTTAACAAACCACTGGCAAAAAGCTGGAGCAATCCATTCCCTGGCATGAATTCCACAATCCATCCAGATGATCTTCTTGGTGTTATTGGATGGTTGACTAATCTAGAAGGGACATTAGGTTGACTGATCTGGATGCTTCATTACCAAGCAATCACTTATTATCATCAGCCACTGTACAATGTTATCAAATTTTTTATTCCCCTGGACAGTCCTTTCTTACTCCACTCTGTGGTTTCAAGAAAGAGGCAAGAAGGCTGATGAAGACACCCACTAACATGACCCTTTCTTTGGTTACTTTTGTTCTGCCACTTGGTGTTCTAGTACCATGCACGGATACCCATGGTCCACACAAAGAATGTTCTTTCCTACACCCTAACTACAAATAAAGGCATAACCCTCAACCAAATAACAAGCTAAGAGGCTAAATCTGCACAAACCTTGTGAAACATTTCTCCACAGCTTTTACTCAGTGGTAAAGTGCACAAGAGGTAACGTTCGAGTCAAAGGTATTCAAAAACGAATCCCAATCTTCACTCGAACATCTTGAGATTGTGCACAGATCCAAATACAAAATCACCTGCAAGATTTATTAAATTTTTCTTCCCCTCAGAGCCTCCTCCACTCCCAGCCAGCCCTATCTTCTTTCCTCTCTCCCCATTTGTTACTCTTGCACATCAGTTTGACCTCACTCCAGCAAGAAAGATCCCTTCCTCTTTTAGAGCAGTGGGTAGGCAGCATTTAATCTAGGATGTTGTGGGTTCTTGTTGGTGGAGGGGAACTTTGGACACACTCATGTTTGCAACAGTTAAATCTGTTTTAGATTTGTAAATGACCTAGACCAGCACTGTTTGTTGAAAGCTTTGGGAGCTGAGCTGAAGAAGGCTCTCTCCCTTTGTGTGAGAAACTTATAAACTGAGATAAATATATAGCTGGATCTATTGTATTAAAGAACTTTCTCCTTTTAGCCTCATTTGTTTTCAAAACTGCCAAAACAATGGGTAATCCAACATTTACCTTAATTTTCTTTTCTAATTATTCTTTTGTAGTGCACATATATTAATAGGTTTATCTTTATTGTCTCTTCATTGTAGGCTCATTCTATTCTTTACAATATACCCAGGCAGAGAATGTTGACATGTCTTTTTGACTGACTCAACTCAGAGTCTGATGACCTATCACAAATCAGATGGGCAGGTGCTCCATGCCATATATATCAACCATTCACTCTCAGTTCCTGGGAAATTTCTATTTCAGAACAAAAAATTTATTTCATTTATTTTACATTTGTTCACTGAACATCATCACAGCATATAAAATGTGATTTTCCATCCAGAATACACTACATAGTGGCTTAATCATACATGTTATTGTCAACAAATAAATTTCCATTTCTTGTTTCATATATATAATTTTTTAAATTTCCTATTGATCATCCTCTGTCATTTCCCACCCTCCTTCCACATTGTCTCTGGTATCTACAGTTATTTTCTATTCCTTTTCCCCTCACATTTTGCTGATTCCCAAAATATCTTATCAAAATACTTTCAATCAAAAGTTCAGCTGATATACACACATCTGTGAACACATGTCTTATTTTAGGCATGACTCCACGAGTAGAATGAACACACTATAGAGTAGCACCTAGCTTAGGCCATATAGCTTACTGCAGTCCTTAAATAGGTATTATTATTATTATTTTAATATATTTTTTTAATTGCAAGAAAATCAGTTATAAAAAAAAGTTATAGCTTTAATAAACTGAAGTCAAAAAATGTTAAGAGTAATTTACTTAAGACTTAAGACCAGGAAACAGGGGTTAGAATTCTGTTCAAATAGTAGGGACATAAACTTATCGACACCTCAAAAGAAGACACCAATCCTCGAATCTTAGAAAAACACCGTAGAAGAAAATCAGTAATGTTTTAGTCACAAGTCATAAAATTCGATTCCACCAGTTCAGTCTCCTGTAATTAAACCTCTCTTCTGTTGTGGTCCAATCTTTCCATTCAAATTCTAGAAGATAATATTAAAGTGTACTTAGTTTTCCTGGTGTAGCACTCTATTCAGAATGTCTTGGAGAGCTGGCCTAAGGCTGGTAAATTCTTTCAGGTTTTGTTTATTTGAGACTGTTCTTGTCTTCTGTTCTTATGTGAAGGATAATCTTGCTAGGTATAGTATTCTTGGTTGAAATTGTTTTTCACTTAACACTTTGAATATATTTTCATGTTCTTTCCTTGCTTGCATTGTTTCCAATGAGAGGTCCGCTCTTAGCCTGATGGGATATCCTTTGTAAGTAACTGATGCTTCTCTCTTGCCAATTTTAGTATCTTGCCTTTGTCTGTGATTTTGGTCAATCTGGCTGTAATGTGTCTTGGAGAAGATCTTCTTGGATTCATTCTATTTGGGGTCCTTTGTATTTCTTGGGTCTAGGTCTTTGAATGCCTCTCTAGCTTTGGAAAGTTTTCTTCCAGGATTTCATGGAATAGATTACCAATGCTCTTATTAGTCTCTTCATCTTCTGGGATACCAATTATCCAGATATTTGGATGTTTAATGGTATCTACTATTTCTCAAATATTATTCTCATTTTGGGGAGTTATTTTCTCAGTCTTCATGGTGGATTTTTCTAGGCCAGCGATTCTGTCTTCTACATCTGAGATTTGATCTTCTGTATGATCTAGTCTGCTTTTAATATTTTCAAGGGAGGTTTTGATTTCCTATATTACAGCCTTCATCTCTAACAGTTCCATTTGATTCTTTTTTATGATGTGTATTTCCTCTTTCAGATTGTGCAAGAACATTTTCACTTCCTGGAACTCATCAGCTCTTTTCTCCTGCCTCTTCTGGAGTTCATTGTCTCTCTTCTCTTGCATCTGTTAGCTTTGTCTCTATGAATATTCTAAATTCTTTATCAGACATTTCCATGATTTCCATTGTACTGACTGTGAATTAAGAGGAGTTATTCTTTTCCCTTAGAGGAGAGGTATTTTCTTGTTTTCTCATATTTCTTGTGTCCCTGGGGTGATTTCTAGTCAGCTGATAGGTTATACATTTCTTCCTAATTTCTTGAAGTTCAAGATGAGCATTCAGAGGTGTGCAGGAGGAAGTGATCTACAATCTCTCTGTCATTCTGTTTTTCTCCCTTTGTACATCAGATTTGGTGGGAAGTGAGAAATATTCTGTCCCTAATAGTATTTGAATGTTTGGCTATGGTTCACTTAAATCTGTCTAGACATTCAGTGTGCAGAGGCTGAGCAGCAAAGTGATGAAGATAAAAGAAAAAGGAAAAGAAAATATAGGAAGAAGAAAAAAAAGAATAGACAATATAACTTTTTGCTTTTTCTTTTTAAAAAGGCAAAAAATGAAAACCACGTGGCATGCAAGGAAAGTAATTTTTCACAGCTCAAGTTCAATAAGCATCTCAGATCTGAGTTTCTGCCTCTCCTAAATAGGAAGGGAGGAAAGGCAAGAATTAGCAACATAAAGGAGGGACTGAGAGCCAAGAAAATACTTTACCTTAAAAATTTTTTTAAAAAATTAGAGAGAGACAGAGAGAAGAATAGAGAGGTCCTACCACTTTCATGGTTGGGTTCTGTAAGGTGAAGTCTCAGCAGAAAATCTTCAATAGTCAGTCTTATTCCTGAAAGTAATTTTTCACAGCTGAAGTTCAATAAGCATCTCAGAGGATCTGAGTTTCTACTTCTTCACTTTCTAGGTTGGGATCTGGAGGGTAAATCTTCAGTAGTCAGTCTTAATTCTGAAAGTCTTTTTTTATTTGTTTGTTTTAAGAGAGATTTTTACTATAGAGCACATGCACTCACTAGAGACAGAAAGTAATAAATCACTTCCTGGGGTGGTAGTCACACCACAATCCTTTCTCCTCCGTTTTCCTCTCAGGATTTTGAGTGGGCATGCACACATACCTCGCATGAGATTTTTTTTTTCACATTTTTAAATTTCATTTTCTTTTATACGTTCAACCCCATTATTTAGCTTACAAAATGAATATTTCAACAGGTGAACACTTCTCCCTAGTCCAGTTGATAAAAGTATAGAATATCTTTAATGGATAATATCACATTTCTTTGTCCCATTAATGGTTTGCCTCCCTATTTTTCTTCTAGATGTCCTTCCTCAGACCCTCCTCTTTCACACATTCTGTATCTGGTATTTACATCACATGAGTTTTAAGCTACTGGGTCAAGGACTTGAACTGCAGTTGACTACATGGGAGTTCAGGGACATAACCAATATGCCATTTGCTGGTCCCAACAATACATTTTTCATTTTTGTAGTTTTAGATGATGCTCACATTTTTATTGTTATTTTTAAATTAACACATTTATGTGAGAAGACAGTGGTCTAAAATAATGCTCTTTTCCTTCAGCAATTGTTCTTGAAGAGTGGTCCTGAACCAGCAAAATCTGATGTCTTAAACTCCTTAGAAATGCATTGTGGTTCTAAAACTTGAGTGTGCATTAGAATCACCTGGAGGATGGCTTGCTATCCCCCTCCCCAAGTGTCTGATTCATTAGACCTTTGTGAGACCCAAGAAAGAACCTTTGAAAAAAATTTGCTGGAAGGTGTGTGTGCTCTCCAGACACGCACACACACAGAAAGTGAGAGAGCATCCCCCCATGGGGGATAGTTACACTGCAGTCTTTTCTTCTCTATTTCTTCTTTCGGGATTTTGGGCACACATGCACACACACACACACACACACACACACATACACACACACCTGGCATGTTCTTCAAACCACCAATCCAGGACTCAAATCATTGGCCATGTGGGATCCACTATTTAACTACCACACCATCTCAGGTGATGCTGATGCTGGTCGTCCAAGGACCACCCTTTGAAAGCCACTGACTTGATGAAGAGGTTGTCCACTCTGGCTAAACATTAAGGTCACTAATGTCATTATGGTCATTACGGAAGCTTTCAAAGCATACCTGGTCCCATCCTTAAAAATTGCTGGTGCAGGGGGCCAGCAGATGACATAGTAGCTACATTGCTGGACTCCCACATGGTCGGCTGTGGTTCAAGTGCCAGACCTGGTGGCTTAAAACTCATGCTGAGTGCAAGTGCATGTGTGCCCAAGGGCCCGGGAGAGGAACAAAGGAGAAGGGATTATGGTGTGGCCATCCCACCTGACGAGTGATTTCTCACTTTCTATCTCTCTGTCTCTTTCTGTCTCTCTAGAGAGAGACACGCACCCTATAGCAAAAAAGTTCTCAAAAAAAAAAAGAAAAAATCACTGGTGCAGAACTGAGAGCCCAGAATCTGGTGGAAGCTAAGTCTGGCCTCCTAAGACTGCTAAGATTAATTTCCTGGCCCTGTGATAAAGTGACTACTTGGCCCTGAACTTTTTATCATGACTAATGCAAAAGGGGTCAGAGAACCTAGAGACTTGTTACCCCACTGTCTAGCAACTACCTGTGTGGCCTTGTACAAGTCACCTTGCTTCTCTGGGTTTTTGCTCTATTAAGCATAAAATGAAGAAACCAAAAACAAAGGTTGTCTGTGGTTTTTAAACATTTTTATGAAAAAAAGTTTTGTTTGTTTTTTCTTAACAAAAGAACGTTTTATAAAATGAAGAAGAAGAAAAAACACAACAACTGAAAATACATATAGAATGTGAACTGGCTCTAGTTGAAGCCTGAGTGGGCGATTGGATACTTCTGGGCCTTGCTTTTTGAAGTCATTTCCTCCTGGTCCCACCCAGCCAACCCAATTCTCTTTCCTCCTGTCCTTAATTATTCTACTCAGATGATTAAGGCACCAGCATCTATAAGTTTTATATTTTAAAATCCCAGTTTGGGGTAGAAAAGACTTTCTTCTCTGCCTTATTTTTTATTTATTTATTTATTTATTTATTTTATTTATTTATTTTTGCCATAGGGCATGTATGCTCACTGGAGAGAGACAGACACAGAGAGTGAAAGTGAGTAATCACCCTATAGAAGGGATGGACATGCCACGATCCCTTCTCCTCCATTCTCCTCTTGGGAATTTGGGCATACACACATATGCACCTGGTATGATTTTCAAGTCACCAGGTCCCAGACGCAAACCGTGGTTACCCATGTGGGAGTATAGTGCCTTAACCAGTATGCCACCTGCTGGCCTCTCCACCCTGCCTTTTAAAATATTTTTCTTCATTTGTGATTAGAGCCTCCCAGTAGTAAACACATACCCTCAAATTGGGAGGAAGAGGCTCTTCTCCCTGGTAAGGAAATTCTCAGTCTTCTCACTCACCTTCAAATAATACATGGTCCGGTTCTCATAGGTCGTTCCCAGGAGATGCTGTGTCACCACTTCCCTGTACTTCTCGCTTATCTGGCTCATCCACTGATAGATCTGAAACAGCCAGGGAAGACTGTGACTATCAACAGGAAGACCATTTGCTTGTCCCTGATTACGATTACTGTTTCTTTCACTGAGGCATTGAACTCTGTACTCTTCACTGTTGATTACAACAGCTGTGTGGTATGCAAAACAGGAAACTAAACCAATGTATTATTACCTCCGTACTTTCCCTTTAAAGGTCTACTCCATCATCAAATCTTAAGATATCCTGTCAAATTTTACAAATACGTTATTGAGAATTTACCATTTCAATAATCCATCAATGACACTTCAAGGACATTGGAAAACAACACATTCTTCAAATGACCACCTAATAGCTTTCATTTCTGGCACATAATCATGACAGAAATGTTCAGATTGTACTTATCTTATGGGATTTCCCATTTTTATGGATCCCAAAAATATTCTTTGCTAATATCTATGCTTCCAAGATTAGAACAGACCTGGGGTATGCCAACAGAAGTTTATGATTTAAGCCTAATAATTATTTTCATTCAACTGCAATAGGCTTGAATAGATTGAATTGATTACTTACAAGTCTTACACTATGCTTAGAGTCTAACACTAGGTCTGTAAGTCCCTAACTTGAGGTTCCATAGAGTGAATGCAGTTAGAGAATTTACAAACATAAGACATAGTGACAGTCAACAGCCTGTCACAAGATACCTCTCATATTCAATTTCTATGTAGTAGAAATCACTGAATGACAACAAGGAAGAGTTACAGTGAATAATAATAGCTAATTGGGGATAACAAATATTCCATCTGAAAAATTTTGTATCTCAATTGACACTGAATGTAGAATATCTGTAGATAAAATGCAATTTAATAACAGTAATAATACTTACGTGGGAGTATTTTCAATGTCTATTAACTGAAAAGCGTAACTGTGTATCCCATGGGTATTGTATGTGCATCTGGAATGGGACTACATCAGATACAGATGCCATCAGTCTTGGAAGAGCTACAAATAGCAGCAAGAAGCAGCAGTGGCAGCTATTACTTATTTACTGCTCTGTGAGTAGTAGTATAGTTTATTTCATTTATCCTCACAATAATGCTGTGAGATAGGTACAGCTATCACAGATGAGAAAACTGAGGATCAAACAGGTTAAGTGTCTTGTTCAAAGTCACACAACTGGCAAGTAGCGAAGCCAGATGTGAGCTTGTCTCTGAGACCAGTCCACAAGATTTCTATGGGCCATGTTGGACTTCATTCAGAATTATAGAACCTATAGTATTTTTAGGTAATTGTTGCAGAGAAAAAAAAGTCTTGAAAATGCTGAGACAATAAATTGGCTAAGGCTATGTGGAGGGCAACTTGTGCATTTACATCAGAATTTTAGATGTATATATCCTTTAATTCAGAGATCTATTTTTAGAAATGTATACCTCAAAAACAGTATTGCATAATGTCAAACATACATATGCATATTAATATATTTTTACGATATCTAGTTTTGGAGACCAACAAATTTATCTTAGTAGCAATACAAATGTCTCTTTGAAAAGAAAGATTTCCCTCTTCAGTATTGCCTGTGCCCCTGCATCCCACAAGAGATACTACGTTGTCAGTAAATATGTTTCAGTCAGAAGGCTTCTCCACCCATGTCTCACACTCACATGGACATCTGCTCTGCCCTACTGAGACCTGCTAATGACTTGATAAAACTCAGGGTTAGTTCTGCTTCAAGTTCACATTAGCAAAATTGCTCATTGAAATGATCTTTTTCTCCTTTTTCTTTTTCTTACTAATTTATCTTTTCATTTCATATAGCCAGGTTTTGGAATTTCAATGGCAGTGGAGGGAGGAGTGTTTAGAAATCACTTGAACTCAGTGCATAAGCAAATCTTATTTTTTGGCACAAGCAGATTTTACCCCCACATTCTCAAGTCCAAGGGTAACAATTACGATTACCAATAGCCTTTCTCCAATGTGTCTTTTTTTTTTCTTTTCTTTTTTTGGAGAGGTTTTCGCTATAGGACACATGCGCTCGCCAGAAAGACAGAGACAGACAGAGAGACAGAAAGTGAGAAATAACTCCCCAGGAGGGATGGCCATGCCGCAATCCCTTCTCCTCCATTCTCCTCTCGGGATCTTGGGCATGCACGCACACGCGCTCAGTATGAGTTTAAGCCACCAGGTCCAAGACTTGAACCGTGGTTGACTATATGGGAATCCAGTGACCTAGCCATTAAGCTAACTGCTGGTCCCCCTCCAATGTGTCTTTACTCACCTCCTCCATGGGGTGATATTGGTCATAGGAATAGTTTTCCAGGTTCCTCCATGGACCCACTGTCTTGTCCAAAACCTCTTGTCTGTGTTGTGCTAAGGATCTACAAATGGGAAAAGTGATATAAAAAGCAGTGAAGAAAATGGGATATCCCAAAAGTCAGAAGATTGATGAAAAGATAACAGGAAGCAGAGGATGTGGAGGACAAAAGCCCACGTTGAAGTCTTGACTGTGACTGTGATTGTGATGTACTGATTTGGAGACCTTGGGCAACCATTGAGCCTCTATGAGCTGCAGCTTCTTCATTTGAAGGGGGAATATAATCTTTCCAAACTTTCAGGGAAGCTAGAGTAATTTTTAAAAATGTCCTACATAAATCTTTTCAAATTCTAAAAGCAATGGGCCAACTGCGTGGCCTGGTGAAGGCAGCTAGAGCTCACATGGATGATTAGGCAGTTTGAGTCCCTGATCTGTCAGCTTGAGAAACATGCGGGGTACATGTGTGTGAGTGTCCAAAACCCCAAAAGAAAGGAGAAATGGGGGATAAGGGATTGTGGCATGACCAATCCCCTTGAGGAGTGTTTTCTCCCCTCCAATTCTCCCTGCCTCTGTCTAACAATGCGTGAACCCTCTAGCCAAAAACAAAACAAACAAACAAACAAAACTGTAAAAGACATAGTAGCTAAGATTTATTGAACTGAAACTTAAAAGACATGCACTGCTTTAAGCAAGTTAAATCTCATTTACTTCTCTCTAAAATTCTGATAGGTATCCTTATCTCCATTTTAGAGATTAAGAAATGGAATCACAGAGAAAGTGTTATAGGATTTAAACCCTGACAGTATGATTGAAAAGTTTGCAATATTAACCATAGTATTGCATAGAATAGGGAGAACTAAGGGTTTTTTTTTTTTTTTTGAGAAGTTTTTAGGGGGCGTGCGCTCACCAGAGAGACAGAGAGACAGAAAGCGAGAAATCCCCCCCCCCCCCCCGGGCAGGGGGATGGCCACATCACAATCTCTTCTCCTCCATTCTGCTCTCGGGATCTTGGGCACACATGCACATGAACCCAGTGGGACACCAACCACGGTTGACTACATGGGAGTCCAGCGCCATAGCCATTACGCTAACAGCTGGTCCCTCCAGTGAGAACTAATTATTATGCAATAGTTTATCCTTTTTAAAAAAAGAAACGTGAGACCAGCAGATGGCATAGTGATTACGTCACTAGACTCCCACATGGCCAGCCATGGTTCAAGTCCCGAACCTGGAGGCTGGCAATTCATGGCAGATACAATGTGCATGCATGCCCAAGATCCTAAGAAGAGAATGGAGGAGAAGGGATTGCAGCATGGCAACCCTCCTTGGGGACCAAATTCTCAATGTTTGTCTCTGTTTCGCTCTGTCTCTCCGGCAAGTACAAGCGCCCTATAGCAAAAATCTCTCTTAAAAACAAAACTAAACTAAGCAAAACCATTTCTTTTTAAAGAATACTTTTAAGTTCACAGCAAAATTAAGCAGGAAGTACAGCTTCCATATACCGTTTATTCCCTCCATTCAAAACCCCACTACAGATATCCCATGCCACAGTGACAGCTTTGTTATATTCAATGCACCTAGATGGACACATTATTATCATCCCAAGTCCATAGTTTGCATTAGGTTCTCCATCTTGTTTTTAACTTGTTAGTTTTACTACCCAAGAAATCCTCTGTACTCTGCCAATTCATCCTCTCCTTCCCTTAACCCCTAGCAATTACTCATCTTTTTAGTTTCTCCATAGTTTGGTCTTTCGTAAAATGTCATGTACTTGTAATCATGCAGTATGTCTAATTTTCAGATTATTTTCTCTCATTTGATAATATGCATTTAAGTTTCCTCCATATTTTTAATGTCTTAATAGCTCATTTCTTTTTTCAATGCTGTATAATATTCCAGTTTTTGAATGTACCAGTTTATTTACCCACTTATCTACCGAAGGACATCTTGGTTACTTCCAAGTTTTTGGCAATTATGAATAAAACTGTTACAAACATCCATATACAGGTTTTCATGTGGTAAATACTAAGGAGTATAATTTCTGGATCATATAGTTCAAAACTTTTTCATTGGCATGTTCTTTTTCTTTGTTTTCTTTTGTTACCAGTTTGATAATATATAAAATGGTATGTTCAGCTCTGTAAGAAACTGCCAACTATTTTCCAAAGTGATTTTAACATTTCACATCATCACCAACAAAGAATGAAAGTACTTCTTGCTTCATATCTTCCTCAGATAGTGGAGATGGTAGAGATTAGTGTTGTCAATGTTTTCAATTTTAGCCATTCCAATAGGCGTTCAATGGTATATCACTATTGTTTTAATTTGTAATTCTCTAATGACATATGACATAGAACACATTTTTGTGTGCTTACTTGCCATATCTATATCTTCATTGGTGAGATGTCTGTTCAAATATTTTGCCCATTTTTAATCAGGTTTATTTTTTTATGTTGAGTTTAAATAGAGTTCTTTATTGGATAACAGTCCATTATCAGATACATCTTTAAAAAACGTGTTTTCTCCATTTGTGGCTTATCATCTCATTTTCTTGACAGAATCTTTCACAGAATAGAAGTTTCTAATTTCAATGAAGTCCAGCTTAATTGATTATTTCTTCCATGAGTTGTCCCTTTAATGTTTTACATAAACAAGTCATCACTGTACCCAAAGCCACCCAGGTTTCCTCCTATGTTATCGTCTAGATTTTAAAGCTTTGTACTTTACATTTAGGTCTATTAGGCCTATATATTTTGAGTTAATATTTGTAAATCTTGCAAGGTCTGTGTCTAGATTCTTTTTCTTTTTTGCATGTGGATATCTAGTTGCATGTCTATATCTACAGCAAAGAGATATTTTCAATGAACGGTACTATCTGTTGTATTATCTTTACTCCTTTGTCAATGATTAGTTGACTATATTCGTGTAGATCTATTTCTGGACTCTGTTCTTTACCATTGATTTGTCTATTCTTTTGCTAACACCACAATGTCTTAGTTACTGTAGCTTTATATTAAGTCTTGAAATAGGGTATTGTCAGTCCACTGACTCTTCCTTCAATGTTGTGTGGGCTATTCTGGGTCTTTTGCTTCTCCACATAAACTTTAGAATCAGTTTGTTGATAACTGCAGAACAACTTGCTGGAATTTTGATTGGGATTGAATCAAGTCTATAAATCAATTCGGGAAGAATTTACATCTTGACAGTATTGAATATTCCTGTCCATGAACACTATCTGTGTTTACATTTCTATAGTTCTTTTTAAATATCTTTCATTAGAGTTTTATAAGTTTCCTTATAAGCATCTTGTACGAATTTTGTTATATTTCTATAAAATATAAGTATTCATTTTAGTGGGTGTAAATATAAATAGTAAGGTGTTTTTTTGTTTCAAATTTTAATTGTTCTGTGTTGTTATATGGGAAAACGTTTGACTGTTGTATGTTAATCTTATATCCTGCAACCTGCTATAACTGCTTTTAGTTCTATGACAGTTTTATTGTTGTTGATTCATAGATGACCATGTCATCTGCAAAGAAAGACAGTGTTTATTCTTCTTTCTGAATCTACTTTCATGTTCTTTTCTATCTGCATTAGTTAGGCTTTCCAGTACAATATCATAAAGTGGTGGTGTAAAGGAATCTCCTTGCTTTGACTGATCTTAGTAAAAAAGATTCTGGTTTCTTATCATTAAGTATGATATTAGGTGTAATGTTTTGGAAGATGCTATTAGGTTGAGGAAGTTGCCCTTTTAAAATTATGCATAGATGTTGGATTTTGTCAAATGCTTTTTTTTTTCTTCTTCTTTAGCCTACAAATATGGTGGATACCATATGATTGATTTTTTTTTGGAGAGGTTTTTGTTTTTTTTGTTTTGTTTTGTTTTAGTTTTTGTTTTTGTTTTTTCTATAGGGCGCATGCTCTTGCAAGACAGACAAGAGAGACAGAGAGATAGAAAGCAAGAAATCACCCCCCAGGGGGGGGATGGCAATGCTGCAATCCCTTCTTCTCCATTCTCCTCTCGGGATCTTGGGCACACACGCGCACGCGCCCAGCATGAGTTTAAGCCACCGGGTCCAGGACTCGAACCGTGGTCAACTATGTGGAAGTCCAGCAACATAGCTATTATGCTAACTGCGGGTCCCCTATTGATTGATTTTTGAATGTGAACCAGCCTTGCATACTTAGGATACACACACTGGGTTGTAGTACATAATTTTTTCATGCATTGCTGGATTTTATTTGCTAGTATTTTGTTGAGGATTTTTATATATGCATTTATGAGAGATAGTGATCTATAGTTTTCTTGCAATATCTTTGTCTGATTTTAGTATTTGTAATTCTGGCTTCATAGGATGAGTTAGACAATATTCTCTGCTTCTCCTGTAAGAGACTGTAGAAATTTGATATAATTTCTTCCTTAAATGTTTGCTATAATTCACCAGTGAACCCATCTGGACCAGGTTGTTTTCTATTTCAGAAGTTTATTAATTATTGATTCTATTTCTTAAATAGATACAGGGGTTTTTAAATTTTATACATTTAATCACTATACATTACTTAGCTTGTAAGTTGAATTTTCCCAACATGAATACACTTCATACCAGCCCAGTTGAGGATACAAAACTCATTATCATCAACAGATAATAATCCATTTCTGTGTCCCATAAATGTCTTGCCTCTTTATTTTCCTCCTTAATTTATTTCCTTATACTCTCCCTTTTCTATCACTCTCTTCCTATACTATCTCCAGTATCAATAACCATTTTGAATGCTTCTATGTCCACTAATCTTTCAGTTTCCATCATAGAGTGCAGATAGTTGGTATATGTTAAGTGGAGACATATAATGTCTCTCTTTCATAGTCTGACTTGCTTCACTCAGCAAATCTTCCATATTCCCATATTCGCCCACTTACTATTAAATGCCAGATTTTTTTTTTTAATGGTGGAGTAGTATTCCATAGAGTATATGTGCCAGACTTTTCAAATCCATTCATTTGTTCATGGACATTTCGGTTGGTTCCATGTCTTAGCAATTCTGAATAATGCTGCACTAAACATA